ATTAAGAAAACATCTTCATCAGTTTCACAACACACGTGTGCTCCAAATACTCACAACACCACCAAATACAGAAACGCGCTGCAAAAGCTCACAACACAAATGCAGAAAACGCGCTGCAAATAACACAGACCACAACGGAAATGTTTCCAGAGGAACCAAATAAGTGACGAACCCGGCTGAGACGTGCTGGCATAGATATCCATAAATCTATGCGTCCATACATATAGTTTTATGTCTATATGTATGGACACTCTTGAAAATGAGATGTTGCATCTCAAGGGGCTATCCATTAATAAAATTGAAATTGAAATTAATTTCCTCATTATTTTCACCTGGGATGTTCCCATGACAACGCAGCACAGCGTCCATCAGCTGAAGAGCTGTTCTTACCACAGAAATATAATGCTGTTAACATAACGGATGCAAATACATTTTTATTTTTAGTTTACAAAAAAGCTTTTAAAATATGCGTTATATCTGTGTGTCTCAACTTTAAAATTTTGGACCCTACATTACCTAACATTTCTTACGAAACTTTTCTTTATGAAAATGTAATAACATGAAACAATTTGTACAGTGTAACTGATGTATAGATAAATATCTTTCCTTCATGATTTTCTTCTTTATCTTTTTTATTTATTTATTTTAGTTTCCAGCTCATTGTTCTTTTCTCATTTGTATTCTGATGACATTGAACACATTGTTAATACATTTTGTACATTGTAAGTTGTATGTCATAAAAAAAATGTAATCTCTGTATGTTTTGCACAAATAAATAAATAAAGTATAATTTTAAGCTGTAGCACCAGCACGCATAGATTTATGGATATCTATTCCAGCACGTCCCAGCCGGGTTCGTCACTTATTTGGTTCCCCTGGAAACATTTCCGTTGTGCTCTGTGTTATTTGCAGCGCGTTTTCTGTATTTGTGTTGTGAGCTTTTGCAGCGCGTTTGTATTTGGTGGTGTTGTGAGTATTTGGAGCACACGTGTGTTGTGAAACTGATGAAGATGTTTTCTTAATTTGCGGGTGTTTTTTTTTTATTTGCACGCGTTTTTTTCTATTTGCATGCGTTTTATTTTATTTGCATGTGTTTTTTTGTATTTGCATGTGTTTTCTTCAGTTGCAGCGCGTTGAGCTCTCTCGGCCACCGTAAATACTCAGCAATGCTGTCGACTTATGAACTTACCAACGCATTCTCATCCTTTGGCGTCATATAGGTGACGCCATATGCAGGGTTCTAAATTAACTTTTTTGATCACCAGCCAATGTGGCTGGTAACTTTCTAAAGTTACCAGCCAATCAGAATTTCCACTAGCCAAATTTTTTTCCGGTGAAAATAAGAGAAATTATGAGTGCCACTGAATGCATTTGATCATTTTATTAACATTGTTGGCATGAAAAACACATATAAAGTACAATACAACACAGAAAGTGCAAACATTTCATTTCAAGTTTGGTATCTATCTATCTATTTGGGATGTGCACGAATTTTCAAATTTTCGATCTGTAATTCAAAAGATAAAATACTATTCGAATTATTTATTTTTTTTCCCAGTTATAATTAAATGCACTGAGTGGAGCGTGTTTAACAAGTGGATTGTATTTGATCACATAATGTCGTTGTCTGCCTCGCGAAGTTTGGAATTACTTAGATGAAAATTATAGCCTATTACAAAATGGAATTACTTTTAATCAATTATTAATTAAACTGAGTTATCATAATATCACCACCACAATATATAGGCCTATGAGAAATCACATGAAATACAAAGAAACACCAGTCGACTGAGGAAGCAGCTGTCCATCACTGCATTAACGACTGCAGGACAGCAGCTGTACCCCAAGGGAATCATGATCCGAGATGATATCTTCTGGTAGCAAAATGATTTTGAGACATATGCTTCCTTTAAATTTCGTTGAGGGATACAGGTTTAAGAACAGAAAACGCAAAGTGCTGTTACTTCACTTTGCACACACACACGTGTCTCTGCAACGTCTGTGTCAGCGCAGCGCGTTTTCTCACTCGAGCATGTGGATATTATTGTTTTTCTCAACATGAACGTGAAACAATATAAACACGATAATCATGCTTACTCGAGTATGTACGTTCTGTACGATAACTGCGCAGTCTGCTTTTTTTAGCGTTTTTTCCCCGTTCGCGCTGCTTGAGCTTAAATGCTTTTGCTGTTTATATTTTTTGTTTACACATATTGTTTAATGTTTTCAACTAAAAGAAAACCTTAAGATATATAGTAAGCTTGTTGTGTATATTGCCTAATGTATAAGCTTGTTCAGAAATAATGACAAAAACCTTAAACTTAAAAAAATAACGTATCTCTCGTTAAACGACATTTAAATTTAAACCCAGAAGTCTGTCCCAACCACCGCCGCATTTAGTTTAATCTTAACTTTTTACTTTACTTTACTAGCTCCCTCCTCTTTCATTCTATGCTCCCTGCTCTGGCTCCATTCGTTCTTCATCTTCCTTGTGTTTTCTGGTGGACGGACGCTCCGTTCGTTTCCATGATCATTTCTCGCGCTGGTTTCACTGCAAACTGCGCGCGCAGCCACTGGGTGTATGAAACGTCATCACGTAGCATTACGGCACAGTGTTCAAGGGAAATGTAGGAAGTACTGCCAGAGGGATAAATGACCGAGAACAGAGCCTTATGCTTCACCGGCCAAACTGGCTAGTAAGTTTTTATTAACACCCGCCAAAATGAATTTTAACCCGCATTTGGCGGGTTGGCGGGTGTTAATTTAGAACCCTGGCCATATGACATTTCGTCGAAATCTTACGCACATGGCATCCTTTAGCGTCAATATAACACGCACTGTTATGGGTAGGTTTAGGTCTGGGGTCGGGTTACGGTTATGACGCCTTGGGATCTGCGTCTCATATTCACGCTAAACGATGCCATGTGCGTTGTATTTACACGCGCGTCACCTGTATGACGCCTTGGGTTCTGCGTCTCATATTGATGCTAAAGGATGCCATGTGCGTAAGATTTCAACGAAATGTACAAGCGTCACATGTATGACGCCAAAGGATGAGACACATGGTGTGTCTTAAAGCGTATTAAAAACACCACATACACACATAAACAACATTAAAAGCTGGATTTTCACCACAGGGGGACGTTAAGCTTCTGGCAGTCATATATATTGCCCCTAGATGGTGGAGATGGTCTTTTAATCAGTGGAAAATTTCATATTTTTATTGAGCCTAAAAATCTTTTACTTGAATCACCAGGACATCAGGGATATAAAATATAATCGAGTGTAAAACCACCTGGAATGCCAAAACATTGGCCTCTCAGTCAATGTGTTTACAGCAGAACCGTTCACGTTAACTCACTCAGGGAATAGTTCATGGCCAGAGGAAGAAACGCTGATGTTATGCTACCATTTATGAGACGTTTCTTTGCTTTAAAATTCTTCCAAACAAAGCCAAAACCCTTCTTGCATGTTGTTTCTGAATAAATCATTTTACAAATCATTTTTAAGGGACTAAATGGTCCAGAAATCAGCTGTGAGATGTTTGACAGACTATTATAATGAGTGTACCCCAGTGAAAACATAAACACATTTGAGTATGTGCTTCATATAAAGCCATTGACTCAGAAGATGGGATTACCGATGGCTTATCCAGGGCTTTTATGGTGTATTTGGAGCATCTGCAAACTATCATTTCTAATGTTGCACAACAAAAGCAGATTTGGGATTACATTATTTATAACTTTAATAGCCCGATGAACATTCATGTGCACATCGACACAGTATTAAGGCTTTACTGAGACACCATTTAGTAGAACATTTACAAATAGCCAACTTTTAAGATATTTCATGCATTATACCAAACACAAATAATCTCTATGAATAAATATCACTTTTTTTGTGTGTGCAAAAATAGGCCTACCTTACATTTCGCTATAACGTTATTATAATAATGTATGAGTAATATTATGTATAAATCAGATTGGTTTTCATCAGGCCAATCATCTGTACAATAACTCTTAAAGGAAAAAATAAATATAACAATTCCTCACTTTCATGACATTTTAAATGGATTATTTTGTCTTGTGGACGATGTTAATAGCTTATTCCATCAAACAAAAACACTTTCTAATTTTATGAATCATCTTATTTTCTTAAGATTATTAACATTTTGCTGATTCTGCATTCTTTGTAAAATTATGTAAACGTATGACTTTAGCTATTCTGTGCATGTTTAGCATCACTATTGCTATTGCTCATTCCTGTAAACGTGTGCTATTATTTTATACTTTGCTAAAGCGATCAGACTAGTGGTTTTTATCTGGTAGGCTATCAAACTGAGTGCCATAACTTCATGGTTGCAACTTTTGTATGCATTATTTTTACCTTAATAAATATGCTAAATTAATTTTTTCTTTTTTGAAAATGTAAAAATGGAGAAAGTTTTGTGTGATGGGTAGGTTTTAGAGAAAGGGAGAGAATATACAGTTTGCACAGTATAAAAAGCATTACCATAGAGTCCCCACAAAGATTGTGTGTGTGTGTGTGTGTGAAGTAAAAATAAAAATAAATCAATAACATAAACGAAGCCAAGTGTGTAAACCAAGGTGTTGTCGTAAGGGAACTTGACTGACTGTTCAAGAATTCATTTAATGAAAGAGCAAATATTAAGAAAAGCGAAAAAATATTAAAACCATTACTGAAAGATGTATTTCGGAGGCCAGCGAACGTTACCCAGCATTGCATTAGCATATATTCATCAGTTGCAACGCACGGTGTGGACGCGCGCCGCTAATAAACGCTCTTCTGCCAACATAAAGCACAGCACTGAATGCGCGGCTTGTGCGAAAGGGCGTGTCGTTTGAGTCGTGGTGTAATGAACCCCTGGAGACCGTGAGCCAATCAAATCCCTCACCCTTCCCCCGTGAGCCAATCAGAATCCTTCACGCCTGTTAGCGATACCTGCCTCTTGTATCCTCTACTCCAGTGCTTCAGTGAGAGTTGTGCTAGTCTGACTCGAGGCGTCTTGTCAAAGAGGACAACTTGCTTTAAAATAACCTGAAAACAACTCATTCTGGGGTTTTTTTTCCAGCGGCGCGGCGTAACGTGACGTTAATTGTGAAGTAAACGTAGGAATCTGTCCTTTTAAAATATCCCACTACACATTTATCTTAACGTTTGTTGTACCGCCTCTCAAAGCGGCTGTCAGATCAACATCTGCCTCAAAACTAACGCGAATATCCGTTTAGAAACAGATGTGAAACTTTCAGTTAGTTTTAGTAAGAGCCCAGCAGCATGTTTTAATTATTAGTTTACACAAAACGAACTTTAAGCGAAGTCACATTTCATTAAAGACCACATTTTGCGCTTGAAGTCTGTCAGTTAAACTCGCTGACGGTGTTAATGAACAGTAAAAGCCCGCGAATATTTCAAGTATTGTGTATTTCGGTTAGTTTCAGCACATCGATCCATCATAAGTGTCTGTTAAATGCGTTTTGCCGATATTTGTGCTGTTTTTCGGTGTCCTGAGGAGGAAAAGCTGATGGTTGAGCCCGAGGGACACCGCTTTATTATGTCGCTTTTTTTACAGCAGGGCTGAAGGGAAATTTAAAGGACCTAAAAATAAAGTGTCGGTTTCTACTCCACAAAGAATCATTTGAACTTCCTACCGCAGAAGGAGAAGGACATAAATAGTTCTGACATGTGGATGTAATTTCAGGAAAAAAGGCAGACAGATGCAGAGAAATAAAACGCTAGCGGGAGAGAGAGAGAGTGGGAAGAGATCTGTGACAAGGAAAAGCCGTGAGAAAATATTCATAATTTCACAAGCGAACGATGTAATGGGAGGGCAGCAGATGGACGAGAAATGACTGGCTCTTTATCGGCGCTTAAACAGACGCAAACCTCAGAGAAACCCGTGTAATCTGACAGCAGTTTGAGTGAACCGAGGCGGGATGGGAGCCACGCTGGTCGTGCACACTTTAGGGCTCCTCTTCTGCGGCACCTTGCTGAGCTTCGTCTATGGTCTGGTGAGTTCGTAGCTTTCTTTCTTTCTTTCTTTCTTTCTTTCTTTCTTTCTTTCTTTCTTTCTTTCTTTCTTTCTTTCTTTCTTTCTTTCTTTCTTTCTTTCTTTCTTTCTTTCTTTCTAATTCTCTGGTCATTAAATAAATGGTAATTGTCTCCGGTCTTCTTTCGAAGCGTTTACTGATGTTTCTGACTGACTTTCTTATAGATGCACATTAACACTTATTACTGTCAAGTGGGAATTATTTAAAGATTATATATATGATATCACCAGCCTCGTCTTGTCCTCTAATAGCCTTGTCTAATCGATGTTCTGTCGTATTTTACACTGTTGATTGATGGTATTTGTCTTAATTCGTTATGCTTTATGTAGCCTACATACAAAAACCTCAAGCTAAAGACAGTCCACACCATATAAACCTAGTTTTGCCTTTACATTGGCCAAACCTTGGTTGAGCGCCTTTATTAAAGTCCTGATACCATGATGATGGATGCTCACTTAAAGGATGTCGTCCTTTACAACTTCACACAGTCAGATGTGCCATGTATAACTAAAGCCAGTCTATATGCTGTATTTTTCATATACTAATCTATTCTCGCTCCCAAAGCCATCAGAAACTGAAGCATGCTCAAGTGCCACTACATTGCTTTCAATTGCTCTCCTGATGTGTCTGATGAAGATGCGTTAAATTATTTGCATCCATTTGATTTTTATACATGATTATAGATATTTGTGAGCACCTAACCCTACCCTGACCTTCAGGACTGGAAAACTACAGTGTAGAAATACATTATACATTAGAATACTACATTTTTCACTACAGAAAACTACAGTCTTTCACTATTTTTAATTACCTTTTAGCATTTATCAGTTCATCTAAATAATGCGAGTGACATGTAAAGTATTGAAGGTACAAATAAATCATGTAGAAATAAATTTGAGGACTTATAACTGCAAGTACAATATTTTTGTTATAGATTTGATGTTAAAATGGGAAAAGTGACACTTGAAATTCCATGTAAACAACGTAAACACTTATTTAGTGCAGCAAAATTAATATATATAAAAAGTGTAAACTCAAAAAGTGGGACTTATATATCTTTAGTATACAGATTAGTTTGGTAAATGTATAGATGAATTGCCCACATTTTCGCTCTGTTTTTTTTTTTTTTCGTCTTTATGTTGATTCATTGCACAGATTATTCTTGAGAAAACGGGACAAGCCTTTGGCAAAAGAACCACTGTTTCTGCCATCCCAAACACAGAAATGAAGACTTTGCGGCTGTTTGAGATGCTTTCTGTGACCCATTCTGTGCATTTCCGACAATCTGAGCACACATCCGAGGAAAGTTTGGATCCGTGGATAATAATACGGTATACCCGTGATGCTGCGTGACATGAATACATTATGCAGATTGCCAATACATTCTTTGTTGCACTGTTTGCGGCTGTGTTGATGTATTCACTGTGGCTTGGAGACTGAAGTTATTTGTCAGGTATTTGTCATTTAGTGATTGAAATCTTTTGGCGTACTTGGCATTGCTTTTGTCCGTCTCCTTCACTGTGGTTTTTATGTGTTTATGTAGTGTGTTGCCGGTGTGTCGATTGTATTTTGTCAATAGAGAAGAAAGAATGTTTTTTCAGCAGTAACTGTGAAATCAATATATATATTATCTGTAGGATGGAAAGCATGTAACAGGCAAAAGTAGCTACACTCACAGTAATTTATCACAAAAACTGACCAAAGAACAGTACAAAAGTATCACACATGGTTCATACAGTATTTTTCTGTGAGAAACACAAGGTTTTAAACCCTGAACATGATCCCATCAACGCAGTCACATCTCATTCATAAGCTAAACCTGAGCTTTCGCATCTCTGGCATGAAACACACGAGAGCCTGCCGTAATGATTCTTCAGTGTCTGAATGTGTTCAAGACTTGAGCGTGACGGCGGATGGATCATTAGTTTTAGGTCTGTTTCTCACACACAGCAATCGTTAGGCCTCAGAAGTCTTGGGGTGTTTGTAATTTTATACATGACATCATGACTTTGCGTAAACATACACGCCACTTTCAAGTCAAGTGGCGTGTTATCTATACGCATTTTGAGCTATCCGCGTGTATGTCCACGCCGAAATCTTTTGCGTGTATGTGTACGCCGTTAAATGTCCGAGTGATTCCGCGTGTATGTGTACGCCGTTAAATGTCCGAGCGAAACGAAGCAAAAAGTATATCTACGTCTGTGGAGCGATATTTTTTTTTCCTAGGATGGTAGGAGAAGACTCATAAATGGTATTAACCCCAGTGACGGGTAGGTTTAGGGACGGGGCTGGGGCAGGTCATATATTTATATATACAGTAATGTAGTTAAGTCAACGGCGTTGATAAACACGCTGAAAAGCGATTATGCGTGTTGATAGCACGCCAAAAATAGAAATACGAATTCGCGTGTCATACATACGCCATTTCATGAGATCAGTCTGTTTTATAATAAATTGTGACTGCCGTTCTGTATTATATGGGCGCTCAAAAATGTCTTTATGGTTTAATGAAAATACAATTATTGTGTGTGTTTAAATTGAAATGTATGACCCAACACATGTCACAATGACAAAATTATACCCTAGTTTAATGCATGACGACGATATATTTCCCAGTGACTCCCAAGGTTTCTCATTGAAAGCAATGGAGTTCCTTGTTGGTCTTTAGTGTCTTACCCGTGGCTGTCGAGATGCTTGACCGTGCTTCAGTGAGTGAAAGCAGGTTGTGTGTGTACAGTCGGATGGATTGTGCCTCTTATTTTTTCCAAACACATTTTCTAAAATGGCACCAGCAGGTTTTCATGTTCAAAGGAGCTGCAGAATCTGGTCGCGCATCAGCTTTGCTGTTTAAGGGACACAGATGTAATATGTTAGAACAGAAAATAACGCTGGAATTGCTCCTGATTGCATTAGATGCTGTATGTGATTAAATAGAGTGTATTTACAAAGTGCCTTAAAAAACAGATTTTGAGTTTTGAGTTGTGCTTGTTTTTTGGGTGGTTGCTATGGTGTTTCTTTGTTGTTGCTAAGGTGTTATGGATGCTGCTGGGTGGTCGCTATGGTTGCTTAGTAGAGCAAGTCTTTACTATCATGTTCGCTATTGGTTTTTATAAAATATATATATATATTCATGGTTCACCAGAAGCAGACTTGATGTAATTTCCTTTGAGTAAAATATACCAACATTGTATAGCTCAGATGTATTTTTCTTTTGTCTTTATTTCACTAATACAATATTTTGCTGATCTTAGAATTGGTTTGCATGCTTGTCGTTCACATTAATACATACGTTAACATATGCCGTCGCAGTACATGTACACCAAAAAATAGCCTTTGTGTTTATTAATTTCATAAACCTAACACAGTTGCACCAAAGACCATGTAAACATATTGAACAATAAACCGTGCTATGTCATATTAAAAGCTAGCAGAGCTCTGTTAGACATGTCATTAAAGTCTACATGTAGTAAACACTGAGTTTTTATCTACTCTATTTTATCAGCTGATCAGTTTTAATATATATATATTTTACCCATGCTGGCAAAATGAGTCGCAATGAGCAAATTTTCACAAATGAGTTATTGTTATTTTCACATTCTCTATTAAAAAATCTTCAAAATGATGTATGATTTGTTGGAATCAGTTTAAAGTCGATAAAGTCAGCAAAGTCAAATTTGAGAAAAATTCGCGTGTAAGTTTTCTGCAAATCCCCTACCAACCATACCTTAAAATCCCTGGTAATAACATTACATTTGGAAAACACCAAGTTAAAACCAAATATTTCCTATATACTGTATCTATAGGAAAAATATATTCACTTTTTTTTTTCCATGTTACCACAATTGTTTGATCAACTGCACCGCACGGATCTAATATAATGTTACACATCAGATGTTTTCCCCCAACAGTTAACCAAACACTCACTTACGACATAACAGATAATGACATGACACATGACAGATATTGTGAGATACTGTGATTCTGTGTATGTGTGTATATTAGGCTCTTTGTACACACGCTTCGGATCTGTCAGTCAGTGCGAGTAAGATCGGTTTTTAATGGACAAAGGAAAGGTACTTCTCTCAGAAAACGTAAAAATAAAGATATTTTTAATGTGTAGTTGCTATTTGGAGCACTGGGGTCACTAGACGAGGGCTAATTAATGAATACATTTTTGTGAAAACCTCAAAAATCAACATTTTTCACTTGTTTTGCCTGTAGTTATGCATATATCTGTATATATCTGTAGCCATTTGAAATTAGAGGCAACCACTGCATTTTAATCACAATCCAAACAAAGATGCCACACACATGTAACATGAGCAGTGGTTTTTGATTTAAAGTTGACTCTGAATGAAAAAGCAGATTCACTCTCTGACAGTAGGTGGCGCTCATGGAGCAGTGGCGCTTTCTTTGCTGATCACAACGCTCATAAACACTACTTTATACAGAGGTAAGAGGAACAGATCGAACCTTTTCTGAACACTGTCAGAGATACATCCATATAAACCCCCACCACAACTCAATATTTCTATTTTTCTTGCTATATTTCGCTCATGGCGAACTGAACTGCGGAGCCTGGTCCAGTATTTTCTGATTTCTCATCTCCTCTTTGCTGTGTTAATGTCCTGTTTACAGACTTCCTAATATTTCACCACAAATTACATTTTGGGAAATGATTGCAATGCTTTTTGTGTGCAGGTCCGGAATAAAGATCGGCCAAAATAAAATGAAAAACCAATCGTGTGTTTGGTGCAAAAACCATCCGGGCCTGATTTATCTCTATTTAATTCATCAACCAGTCCTGAGTAATCGATAGCATTCAGGACTCTTCTGGTCCTCCAAACCGGAGATCCCATTTTACTGGTCCTTTAAACTAAATCACAGAAAGAGATAATGAAATAAGCATACATCATTTATTTGTAACTGTATTAACACCGAGTAATTGACAATCATGTTGA